TGAATAAAAATTAAGAGGGTTAATAAGATCCTTGTAGAAAAAAATTTCAGTATCTAGTAATAAGGATAATTTTAACATCCTATTCAAGCTCTTCTCAAAACTACATTTATATTTATGTTCATAAAGCTGCACCCTATATTATGTTATGACTGTGTAACGAGTTTCTCAAAAGAAAATTTAAATATATTCTACTCTTCCCTCTATGCAGCCATCTAAGACATATTTGGAATGTAATATGGGCCCCAATGTCAATGGGTTTGGCCAAGCTTTATAAGAAAGCATATATTTGTAATTGAGGGATTTTTTCCTTCCTTACATTTATATTATTACTTTTCTTATGTGCATATGGAGATAAATATAAACACAATGAGGCCATGTCACACACACATATATTTTTATATATGTATATATATATATATAATTTCAGCAAAAGTGTAAAGAACATGAATACAAAAAGTCCAGACAATATTTATTAAAAGTTGAATTCGTGAACTTTATTTGACTGACAGACCATACACTCAAGAAATTGGAACAGTTCTGATGTGTTAGCTGCTTAATAAGTCATGGTTGAGTGAATAATTAAATTAACAAAAATATATGAATATATAAATGTCAAAACTGAAATGATTACTACAACAGGGAAGAGTATTTGTTTTATTCCCAAGACCCAGGAGAATAACAAGGCATTATGTAAGTAGATCCCACTTATGTGGTGAATGGTAATAATAGTATCATAGAACACTCATGTAGTTGTAGCTATGAAGTAATGGAAGTTCAGTGGAGTCTTAGTTGCTGCGTTAGGTATAACTTATCCTGGACCACAGGTAGAGGGTTATTATTGAAGAAATCAAGCATCCTTATGTAAGATTAGGTGTGATAAATTTTGTAAGAATCATGAAAAAATATGTACATTATGTAAACTCAAGAGCAATAAACCATGTGTTATCAGTTCCATGAGAGAGCTTTCTCTAAAATGAAATTTCTCTAGCAAAATGATTATCCACTAGTTTCCAAATTAGCAGATGTATTCATTCAGTGTTACTGTGCTTAGAACACAGTGGAAGCTAACAAAAAAGAATAGGAAAATTGAATAGGAAAATATAAACCCAACAGTTCAGCCAAACTATAAAATAGGAGTTACAAAGGAAGATAAGAGAATCTAGAGATTATTAAGCCACAGTGGATATCTACATACAATACAGCAATGAATACTCATGTGTGTATTTCACTTCCGCGTGTTTGGAGGTGTACTTGCAGAGTCAGTTTCAAAATAAAGAGAGTGATAGCTGCACATGGAGTGTTGCATCATTTTATCAAATTTGCCTCAAAAGATTAGATTAATTGCTGTTTCTACCAGCGATTCATCAGACTACTGAGGCACCCAGTCTCAAGAGCAGAGTGTTGCTAAGCATCTCTGAGAAATGAGAAATAGTACCTTGGTATAGTTTTCATTTAGATTTATTAGTTATGAATGAGTTTGGATTTTTTTTTCATGTTTTGCACATGTAGTTTCTGGAACTCTCAGTGAGATGTTTGCCACTTTTTCTGTTAATGTTTTGATGTTGATCCATCAAGGATTCTTTTTATTCTGGGATATCAGCACTTCATTTATGACATGCTACAAATATTTTCTCTCATGCTGTCAGCAATATTTCAATGTAAGAAAATATTAGTTGGTTACTATGTGATTCTTTTCTGTCCTTCCTTCACCTCTGAGTGACCAAATTCCTTTTATTTATTTTTCCCTAAAATTGATTGATACATTAGATTATCAGGGTCACAGCAGATACATGACTGTTACTACAGCACGACTCTCAATTCTTCTGTCAATGTAATGTTAAGATAGAGAACATGCTCCAGGCAGTTCACAGATGCAATTCTAAGAATGTGACCACAAAGGCTACTTGTTTCTCTCTCCATGCAAATGCCCGACCCTTTCAGGCATTGTGGCGTGCTTTTGGCAAGAAGGAGGGTTCAGCCCACTAAGAATCGATCAAGCTGAACTGATCTGAAGCTAGGATCCAGGAGCCGCTTCTGGGTCTCCCACGTGGATACAGAGGTACAAGGGCTTGAGTTCTTTTCTGCTGTCTCCCAAACCATAAGAGAGCTATATCAAACATAGAGCATCCAGGACCTGAGCTCAGTGGCTGCCATAGGGCATGCCAATGCTTTCAGGTGGAGGATTAGCCTGTGAGCAACTTCACTGGCACCATGCTGAGGATATTCCTGAGATGTAAGAATACATAAGTGTTGGGCCTAGCGTGATAGCCTAGTGGCTAAATCTTTGCCTTGCATGCACCATGTTCCCATATGGGTCTGGTTCGTGTCCCAGCTGCTTCACTTCCCATTCAGTTCCCTGCTTGTGGCCTGGGAAAGCAGCAGAGGACAGCCCCAAAGTCTTGGGACTCTGTACCTGCATGGGAGACCCAGAGGAAGCTCTAGGCTCCTGGCTCAGCTCTGGCCATTGGGGCTGGTTGGGGAGAGAACCAACAGATAGAATCTCTTTCTCTCTGTCTCTCCTCTCTCTCTCTCTCTCTCTCTCTCTTTATATATATATATGCGTGTGTGTATATATACATTATATATATACATATATATATAATACATAATCGGTGCTGCTAGAGGATCAACCCCCTTCCCAACCCACCATCAGCTCCGGGACCACCACCACATGCTTCCCCTGCTCCCATTCTCCATCCCCCTACCAGCCAAGAATAAAGAGCAAAAATAAATTAAATATTAAAAAATAAATAAAAGCAATAATTTGTTATCATGTGATGGGAAAAAATAATGGCCCCAAAGAAATACATATCTAAAAACTCCACATCATGTAAATATTAGTTAACTTCAAGCAATGGAAGTTAAAAGATATTATAAATTCTCTAGAGCTCTCAGGCCTGCTCTTGAATCTTTAATACATCAGAAAAGGGACTTAGCACAAAAGCTCAGGAAGGACTCAGGAGAAGTTACCCGGAGTTGTTCAGTTGGGCCCAAAGGATTAACAAGCTTGCTAAGATCCAAGAACCATTCTGTTGTCAGAGGATGACGTGATAGTGGAATAAGGATGTTACATCGCTGGCTTTAAAGATGGAGGAAAGGGCCATGACCAAAGCTTATAGGCAGGATCTTGAAGTTGGAAAAACAAACAAACAAACAAACAAAAACTTTTAAACAACTGAGGCAGCCCTCTTGGAATCGAGCGTTTGTGAGAACCTTGATTCGTTAACTCTGTGTTATGTCACTAACTCTGTGAGGACTGGCTACAGCAGCAAAGGAAAAATAATGTACTATGCAATTGAAAAACAATTTGGGTAGTCAAATTTGGGTGGTCTTGTGAAATTTGAGCTGTTGCGTGGACAGCTCTTTGATATGGATGATAAAGAACTTTGGGTGACTTTCCCTCCCACCTGTGTAATTCTGTGATTGCATTCTTTTATTTGAAGGCCATTTCTGTATATTAAGGAAGGTATAAAATCAGGTAACTCTGGTTAAGTGACCGATCATTGGTTCCAAGACTGTTGATCTTAAAAGCCCCTTTATCCAAAATGAGACAGCACCTCTATTATGCACTCAATGTCCTTAGGTCTATTCTTGTACTTGGCCATCTGTTTCTGCCCTGGTTATTCATTCATGCAACAGCATCACACTATGTTTAATTTCGGAAGCTCTGTACTATGTCTAGTAAAAATACTTTCCCTTCTCAACTTTGCCTTACTGTTTTTCCCTTTAACAAGTCTTCTATGAACTTTAAGTTCCAGTTTTCCTTCCACAGGACCTTGTTGGTGTTTCTATTAAATTGTGTTTAGACAGTAAAATACAGAGAATACCTTTACAGTATTGAGCTGTTCTGATACAGAATGGCAAATGTCTTCAAGTCTATTTTTGTGGCATTCAGGATGTTTAACATTTTCCTTATGGAAGAATTGTGTATTTCTTATGTAAATTTTCCCTATTTATCATGTTTGTGACTACTGTAATGTAAATGAGATTTCCATACTTACGATCTTGCTTCCTATGAAGGCATTTGATTCTATACAGTGTTTTCACTTAATCTGAATTTAATTTTGCCATAAATTTACATCATTTTCTGTGACATCTGCAAATGATTTATTCTCTTCCAATTCTTATGCTTCTATTTAATAGACTGCGTATAATTGGATTGAATCCATTAAAATGCTGAATAATGGGGCCCAACACGGTAGCCTAGCGGCTAAAATCCTTGCCTTAAACATGCCAGGATCCAGTAGGGGCGCCAGTTCTAATCTCGGCCACCCTGCTTTCCATCCAGCTACCTGCCTGTGGACTGGGAATGCAGGTGAGGATAGTTCAAAGCCTTGGGACCCTGCACCTGTGTAGCAGACTTGGAAGAGGATTCAGCTGTTGCGCTCACTTGGGAAGTGAATCAATAGATGGAAGATCTTCCTCTCTGTCTCTCCTCCTTTCTGTATACCTGCCTTTCCAATAAAAGTAAATAAACCTTTTAAAAAATGCTGAATAATATTAAAAGGCATGGGCATCCTTGCTTTGCCTGTGTGAAAACTGAATACCCCAAGTATTTCCTTATTAAGTGTTAAGATATAAAGTGTGTGGACATGGATGAATGAGAGGACTTAAAAACTAAATGCAAATGGAACTTACATTTACTTTTGGGAAAGATACCTTTTGGAATCCATGCAGCTTTTTCATAATCCATGAACTTTTGGAAGGCCCTTCACATGCATGGATTTCAAAATCTTTTGTGCCAGAATAAACATTTAGTTGTACTCATAATGAATTCTTTGAAGTTCCCTGGAATATTTTATCACAGTAAGAAAACACATTATCACATTAGTAAATTGCAAATTTATTGGAGTTTAGTCAGGTAATGTACATTTCTTTGGAGTTTTTAAATACCTATGCAGAAGCTGTCCAATATTTCCTGTTTGATTCATTAATGTATAGCAGACTCATCATGATATATTAATGCAGTAACACCATTTTCCTCATATTTGGTATTGTTGCATCAGTATATGTGATATCATTAATATATACTTTTCTTAACATATTTATCAGGCTAAAGCCTCAATGTTATTTTTGCTCTATGAAAGAAATTAGGACGTTTTCCTTCATTTTCATATGTTCTCGAGTAGATGGAAATCATCAGATGATGTGATGTTGACCATTTCTTAGAACTCTGGGCCTGGAGATCTGTGTGGTCTCTTAACTGCTTCATCACACAGTAGGTGCCATTAGTCTGTCTAAAACAGAGGGAATCTTGGTAGCTATCTTATCCAAATAAATTTTCCATTTTATGTTTGTTTGTATTTGAATTAACATGAGATTTATAAAGTAACCAGCTAATTTTTTGGTTTTAGTAGTTATCTCCCATCTGTGCTTTTTGAATTTTGCTTCTCATTTTTTTGAAATCTTTTATAAGTTACAGGTGTGAGTGTATAAGAAAGTAACTTAGATTTTATTTCTTAATTGTATTGATTGCCTTTCCATTTTATGTTAATTATATTTACTTCTATCCTTATTTCTTTATGCTTTTTTTTTAATGGTTTTTTTTTTATTGAAAAGTCAGATATACAGAGAGGAGGAGAGACAGAGAGAAAGATCTTCTGTCGGATGATTCACTCCCCAAGTGGTCGCAATGGCTGGAACTGAGCTAATCCAAAGCCAGGAACCAGGAGCAGGAGCTAGGAGGCCAGAGACTCTTCTGGGTCTCGCCATGGGTTCAGGGTCCCAAGGCTTTGGGCCATCCTTTACTAATTACCAGGCCACTAGCAGGGAGCTGGATGGAAAGCAGGGATGCCGGGATTAGAACTGGTGCCCAAATGGGATCCTGGTGCATACAAGGCAAGGACTTTAGCCACTAGGTTACTGTGTTGGGCTCTTTTTAATTAGTTTTGTTCTGTATTTGGCTTTTGAGCCTAGAATTGTATATGGGTCAAGAAACCCTAGTATAAAATCTGAAATCTGAAATAATGTAAAACGAAAAACTTTTTGAGTGTTAACATCATACAAGTAGAAAATTGCACAAGGTCCTTATGTGATGGGTTGCAGTTTGAAACACAGACACAGTGAAAATACTCTATCAAATTACCTAACAGTTACAAATATGTGAAACACAAATGATATTCACATTTAAACTTGGGTTCTGTTCTAAAGTATCTCCTTACACAAGCTTTGCAAAATTTAGACTATCTGAAATCCAAATGAATTATGGTCCTAAACTTTGTGAATATTTTTTTGAATAAAAACAGAAGATAATTCATGCAATAAAGAGACACTTTTTATTGATAAATGTTCTCAGGGCTGTTGCTTTTCCTATGGCCATTTCTATATGTATATGTGTATACACACACATTTAATTGCTTTCATTTTTTTGAAAGGAGTTTAGGTTGGTGTCATCTTTGATTCCGTAATTAAGGTAATTTTCCTATTTCCCAGAGGGGATGACTTTGCCACTTTTGTTGGCTGGTTTGTGTGTAACCAGCAGGTATAGTATCTGCAATATTTTCTATTTTCTGAAACATCATGATGTTAAGTTTGTGATATTATCGTAAGCTTGCATTCCCAAGTCCTCAGTGTGTCAATACACTGAGTTTTCCCCCTTAAGTGTGCACAGGGACATGTGCTGGTAGTGCATGAGCCCCTTGGCATGATCAGCAAATAGAACTAAACTGCTCCCACCCACAATGTGTAAGCACATGATCTGGAGTGCTTATCAGATATTTTGTTTCAAATATGATAAGTGTGAAGCAGTACCTCCCTGTTATTGATCTGAATTTGTCCCTTGGTGAGATTAGGCAGTTTTCGTGTATTCATCATGACTTTGTTATCTTGTGAGACATGCCCCACCTTGATATTTTTTTGCCTGTTCTTTGAGAAAATGTTTCAAGTGGATTATCCTAGACTATTGTATGGATTTTCACTTTTTCCCCTAATATATATTACACAAAGGTTTAAAAAAGGTTTAAGAATTCAGTATCATGCAATTGGGCTCTGGCTATTCCGTTAATCTAGGTATGTATTTCCCCTACCTGTTTAGTTACATAATTATATAGAAAGGTACTTAACTCTCTGTTTAAATGTTAGAGATTTCACTTTTATTAAACATATAGGGTCATGTTCAGTTATTTTCTCTTCTTAGAAATTTCAGAATTAGCTGGCAAAGTTTAGGGTATAATCTATTAAGATTTTATTTGATGTTCCACAATGATGTAGTTAGAATTGAGCCTATCACTCTAAGCTGATTCCGCTTAACAAATTCTTCCTTTATGCACCTCAACACAATATCCAGACTTCTTTTACATTTTGATTTGCATGTATATATGTTGTTTTGTTTTGACTATTTTAAAGAGACATAAAACTTCACATCTCTAATTAGGTTCGTACGTTAGAAACACTACCCACTTTAGCATAGTCCCTTATCCAGAAAGCTAATGTATTAGCTGACTTCCTCTGGGTTCTCCTCAGGGTGCCCTAGAGGTATTAGTGATGATAAACATCATTTCTGTTTATTAGTTTCTAGTTGTCTGTTTATGTCATCTTCAAAAGGACTTTTGGGAAAATGCTGAATAAAACTTATCATGACACATTGTTGTCTAGAGGGAAAAAAAGGAATGTTTTAAAGTTTCACTATTCAGTGATGTGTGCTATGCCTGTTTTTTGTTAGATGTCTATAAGATTAAAAGTGTTCCCTCTATTCCTAGGAAATGGAGACAGTTTTAATAATATTAAGTTAATATAGAAAGTTCCTAATTTTTTTTTCAGCAGCTAGCAATGATTACATGCTTTGATCAACTTAGTTTCTAAAGTTTCAAGGGCTAAACCATTGTTGTGTTACAGGTTAACTCTTACTTGGTCATGACAAATTTTATTATTACAATAGTTATTGCTATTACTGTGTCACAGTTTTCCATGTTGGTGGATTTTGTTTTATTTAATATTTTCAAGAGCCTCATTAATTTTTCCTTTTCCTCACACTCATGTTTATTTGTCATTGCAATCATTACAGTTTTCTAATTATCCTCCTCTCCTTTCCCCTTCTTTCTCTCCCTTCCCTACCTGCACATTCTTCTTCACGCCCCTCTCCTTTTTCTGTGAAATATGGATCGTCACAAGTTATTTTTTTATTTCCCCAAAGTTTTGTAATGATTGCCTTAAACAGAATCTCAGCTCACACAATAAAAAGAAATTGCACAACTTAAAACTGCAATAAAAAGTTAAAAAACGGTTTCTCCCAAGACGTATGCTCAGTGAGAACATCACTAGCCACAAGGAGAAAACAAACAAAAACAGTGATGAACCACTTCATACCAAGATGGCTAAAATCAAACAAGGATGAAATTGTTGGAGAGGGTGTAAATCTTGAGTGAATGCTTTTTCACTTCTAGGAATATACCTAAGGTGGGATGCCTGCATCATCTTTGAAATGTGTTAACTATTTAAAGAGACTTCCTGTTGGCTTTGCAAACTTACTGCACCATTCTATCAGTTAACACCAGAGATTTTCTGTTGCACATAGTGGCTAACATTTGATATTGTCCATCTTACACATCCTGTTTTTTCTAGTGGGTGTGAGTAAATGTCAGTGATTTTAATTTGCATTTTCTTCAATGAAAATGTTGTTGAATACTCATGCAGGAATTGGATATTTTGTGCATAATTTAATAAAGTATTAAAATCTCTCATTTTAATTTGGTGATAGTTGTAACAAGACATTTTAGTTTTTTTTTTTTTAATTTCCAGATAACTGACTGAAGTTGCTAAAATTAATTTTTTTACTGAACATGCTCTGAAAAAAGTTCTATTTAACTTTTGATTCTGGGCCTGAAGTCTTTTGTATATTCTTAATTAATAAGAAATACACAATATTTCTCAGGTCCATTTCCTCTAGAAATCTTCTGATCTTTTATCTTAACATATACAAAATTGAACTTCCACTGCTTTGATCAAAGCAGACTTCATAATTTCAGTTAATGGCATTTTCCATCCTTTTGTTCACTAAGGCTAAGGCCAAGTGTTGGAGCTGTTTCTTCACTTTTTCTTACAAACCATCTGTCCTTAGCAAATACTGTTTGCTTTAAGTTGAAAACAATCCAAAGGGGCCACTAATTCTCATCTTGCTTTCACCATACCCAAGCCAGCATCTCTCAAAGATTCCTTCAGTAGGTAAAGAGATCTCTCCTTTTGCTCCCTTGTTCCTGCATGTATTTCTCAACATGGCAGCCAGAGTGATGAATTAAAGGGAAGGGAGGACTCAGGTCCAGGTGGGAATCCTGGATGAAACTCCTGACTTTGGACCATCTCAGTTCTAGCTATTGTGGCCATCTGGGGGAATGGAACCGCAGATATAAGATCTGTGGCCTCTCTGTAAGTATGTATTTCAAACTAAAAAATCAAAGCGAAAACCAAACCAAAATAACAACAACAAACCAACCAAACCAAAACCAAAACCAAAACCAAAACAAAACAGGTCATTAAATTGGCCTATTGAGTCACATCCGATGGTCTGTCATCCAAACCTATTGTCATTAATGCCGTCCTCACTCTGTTCCATTGCTTAGCCTCATTAATGTTCTAAGAGCTTATCAGGCACAATCACAGCTAGCAATTTCTTGGAACTGCTCTGCCCTCTTCCTGGGACCATCTTTTCAGATTTAGAGTATGGTTTTCCTGCTCCCTCATCTCAATATATCATTAACTTGGGTTTGGAAAGATGCTCAGAAAGATCTTGAGTACTGGATTCTGCCTAGTTTGACCTGCTTTATTTTTCTCTATGCACTGATTCCCTTGCAGTAGAGAGTATCATTTCCCTATATAGTTTCTAATGAGTCATATACCTTCACTTTGCACTCATGCATTGAAGCAACGGTGGGGAAATAGCAGAACATAAAACATCTCATGCAGAATGGTGCCTGAAGGTTCAGGTCCAATTGTGTACCCAATTCCTCTCTTACTGAACATTACCCACTTACTGGGAACTTTCTTAAACAAGTAACCAGCAAGACCACTCACCCACACAGAGGGACGCTTTGAAAAATACTTGCGGATACCATCTTCTAACAGATTTTTTTAACATAATATTTTGAAATGCATTAAAAATTGATGCTGAAAACTCCAAACTTTTGAATATTAATGAATATATTTCAAACTCTGTTAGGTGGCTCTCTGATTTACTTCATTCACTGAGGAAATTAACACGTGAACTCAACTGAATCTCAGTGTGCACTTGATTTTTATGTTGACCTTACATTAGAATTTCAAACCACCGGTCTTCATAGTGTGCCCATAGTTCCACAACACAGTTGTAAGCACCACTGGGCCATAGAATAAGTGGAAGACACAGTGTCTACCTAGAGAAGTGGGTGCTTAATGTGGCTTGCACACATTTCTCAAGTGACGCATAAAGCAAAAGAATGATCTGAGCCCCTCTTTAAAATTCAACTTTCGTAGTAAAGTGTATTTAATTTTCCCTACTTCTCACACCTATATACATGGCTTAAAATTTTCCCTACCAATTTTTCCATTGGTGACTGGTTTTCCCAGCAAACAATTTCTACAACAAATACTGTCATTTAAGTTAACATTTCCCAGTAGTTGGACAATGTATAAAACTAGGCATAACCCCACTGGTTATATTCTTAGATGCTTAAAGACTTGTTTATATGTCTATAGGACTACTTCTATTTTTTATTCTTGAAAAAAGACACACTGGAATCACTGAGATTCTATCACCCCTACAATGTGGTTACGTTAAAGCAGCATACTGAGGTAGTTCATGATAAATTACTGAAAAGATCACCTTATTCCCTTTGCAGAAGCAACTATTTTCGTTTGATAATACTATGAATTTTAAAAGTATCTTACAAAAGAGCATTTCTTAGAAGTACTGTTGCCGTGGGAAAATGTTGGAAAAACTGAGAATCCTTGAAGCTCAAATTGGAACTAAACTGGGGTTCATCACTTTCTTGCCACAGATTTCTTTTTAATCTTCCAAAATGCCAACAGGAGGCAAAGGCCCAGTTTCTTGACCAATTACACTGCTGATCTCCCTCCTTGAGCTTTAGTCTCAGCGTACTTGGGGAACCAACTCCTGGCTCCAGACTAATGGCTGTGGGCTCTTACCTGCCAATTACCATGCCTGAGCTATCAGTGCCAGCCTCCGTGTCAGCCAGCGATGAGATGAAGGACCTGTTTGTTGAGTTCATTAACTGAAATTTGTTCCACCCAGAAGAAGCTGAGATTTGGAGTGAATACACGGAGAGAGCCAGGGGCCTGCCAGGACGGGTTGATTATTATTATTATTTTTAAAATTAAGACCTGGGAAATGAAAGCACAGTTTCCCCTTCTGGATCTCTGCTTCTCCTTTCAGTTCCTCCATTTGGGGTAGACAATGGCAGACTCCGAACCCCCCCTCCACCCTCCCTCTGCGCGCCTGGTCCCTGTAGTCCTCTCTCCCCCACTCTCTCCATTCCCTGCCCCTCACCCATAGGCTTGCCCAACTCAAGCTCCAGGCGGAGATTTGTCAGAACCGTTCGGTTGAGATTGATTATGATTGCGGCAGATGGGCTGGATTTGACGGCACAGATCCTAAGCAGCTTCGGATGTGTGTGTGTTGGGCGGGGGGGTGGAGGGGTGCAGAGGGGCGGGGAGCGGACGAGGGGTGGGAATGCACGGGCCCGAGCTGCCTGGTTGGGAGCTCATGCCGCACAGCCCCGCCGGGCGCACCGCCGCTGCTCTTGAACGCGCGCCTTCAGAGAGGCCGCCAGGAGCGCGAGTGAGACTCGCGTTGGCCGGCAGGGCGCAGGGGGCTCCCTGAGGCAGAGCGGGCGGGCCAGCAGGCGGCGGAACACAAAGCCGGGGAGAGTGAGGGAGCGCGAGTGCCGGGCCGAGGAGTGGCGCCCGCGGTCAAGGCTCCCTTGGCGCGCTCTGGACATGGCAAGTTTGTCAACTCCGGGCTTGGTGGCCAGCGCTCTACTGACACCGAAGTGACAGCGCGCTGCAGGGTCCGCCCCGAGGCCGCTGCAAAATGCTCCACCACAGGCCAGGTAAGGAGACGCCGGCTCCGTTACCCGCCCAGGCTCGTCCGCCAACGTGTGGCTGCGCCGGCCGCTCCAACCTTCCAGCCCTTCGGTCCCGTGGTGCCTCTGAGTTCCTGCAGGCGTCCGGCTCTCGTGGCCTTTCTGGGTGTCCTCAGTAAGCCGCTGCCCTCTGCCGCCCTCACTTTTCGTCCTTACCGGATCTCAACCGCAGTGGGAGAGCCGGCTTGTGGTGCGAGGTTAACGGCGCTCTCGTGCCTGAAAGTCCACGCCAGGATGCCCCAGGTGCAAGCGTGGTCCGTGTGAGAGTGCGCGCGCGTCCGGCACCCGCTCCCACGCAGCCGGAGCCGGGCACAGTGCGCGCGCCCTTCGTCTCCACCTGTGGGGCCTGGCTTTTGTGTTGGAAGCGCAAATGAAAACACGTACACGTGCAGACGCGCTTCCACGCTGGCAGAGTCCAGACACTTGGAAAATCTCGCCAGGCGAGTTCTATGCCTTGTACAGGCCGGCAGGGACGCAGCTTTAATTTGGACGTGGCTGTTGTGCGCGGCTCGGACTTTCCTCCACCGGAGAGGTTCAGCAGCCTCGGTCTCTGGCGAGGCGCCACTCAGCGGAACAGCCACTAGGCCCACTGGGGCTGACTATTTGTGGGTCCCGGACCTTGACCACTCAGCTCAGGCCTCACACATCCAGGCCTCCCCTCCCTGGCTGCCACAGCCAGCCTCTGCTCACTGTGAGCGTGCACCCTGTTGCTACTGGCAACTGCCTGTGTCGAAAGCTCAGCCCCTGGAACGGAATGGCTTAATGCTGATTGATGGGCAGAAATATGATACTGTCTGGTACTGAGTGGGGCTCCCATACACTGCCCAGTTGGTCAGCTGTCCATTATAAAAGGGGCTGTTGGGGTAGTCGCATCCTCCCAGCCAGCATTTGCTTTCCTACTTAACAGGCAGCCACCCCATAGATTTTTTTTTTCCCCATTTAGGCTCCATTGAATAGCATTGAGAGAAACATGCATTTCTGCCCACTGCTGCCTCCTTTTGATTCTCATCCCCACTTCCTCAAACCCTCCCTACACCCAAGTTCCTAAAAATAGAGCTCGCTTTCAATCACCAGAGCTATTCCTATAATGCTCATACAAGCATTTTCTGAAAATAAATCCTACCAGGACTCCTGTCTCAGTCACTTTTCTTCTCTCCACGCCTCTCTCCCCTATGCCTCCCCACCCCAGGGTTGGGTGATGTTGACCCCTACACAGACACAGTCCAGGAACAAAGCTTGCACTACTACCATTCTCGACTGGTAACTCTTGCCTGGGGGGTGGGGGAGGGTGTTTATTTTTATTTTTTCTAAAATTTTAACACCTTACACCTTGCATCCTCAGAAGCCCTTCTTTTTTTCTGGCATAGCACTTACCTTGTGTAAACTGTCCTCAACTAATGATCTCTGTACTAACAGGAACTCTTCCCTGTCTGTAAGGCTTCTGTTGCTGGTCAGGACTGGCTGCAGAGGCCCACCTGTCATGGTCAAAGACATCTCTCGAAGAGCTTGGCTGTGGTTCCCCAGTGCTTCCTTCAAGCAGCACCCTGTTATAACTGGCAGAGCATTTCCTTTCTAAATCAAAAGTGGCACTTGACTGTGGTGTCTGGGTGTTGATTTGAAAAGCCTTGTAATGCTTATGAATCACTTCTTTATTCCTCCCAACAAAATTTCCTTAGGGACATCCCCCCTATGTTGGACACCCTGGTGGACCTTGGGGTGAGAATGGAGCAGAGATAAGGCCCAAGGGGACATTAAGAGCGTTTTTCGAGTCCACATCTCAGCTGCACTGTGGGTACTGCTGTGGTGGTGAATGTTAGCACGCCATACTACGTTGGGTTTGGACTTTACAGTTTACAAAGGGCTTTCACAGACATGATCTGCTTTAATCCCAGCTGCAGCAATTTTAAATAGCAAGGATTCCACCAAGAGGCTCAGTAATGCTCACCAATCCTGCTTAACCTAAAAGAAAAAGAATCTTGCAAATCATCCCCACAGCTGATGCAACTTTAAAACACAGAATAAACCATTCAGAAGAAGCTTATGAGGCTTAGTTACTGGAATGTAACTTTGGAGAAGATAACTCAAATGCATGGAACAAGTACTTTACCCAGGAGGCATCCCACGAAGAGACTCCATCCCAGGAACCCTGTGCCCCAGTGACCTGTGGGCTGCTGGGGATGGAAGCTTTCCATGGCCCTGGGTTGTTGTCTTTTACTAGGATCTAAAATGGCATGAAAATGTTTGCAAAAGATTGCTGGGAAAGTAGCAAATTAAGCAAAATGAGCAGGCAGTGATGTTTCTTTATTTAGCTCAAAGGCATTCTTAAGATATCCCCAAGTTTCTAGCGTATATTTACTTGAAATGAAGCAATTTTCTGCAGTTAGCACATAACTAAAATGAGTGTGTGTGTGCCTTGTTCCAGCTGTAACGGTGTTGATTCTTCTTACTCCTTCTTTATTGGGCACATCTTGTACAGCTAGATGGCAGGTTCTCTTTTTTGTTGATATATAGGGGAGGGTGTTTGGAGGGTCTCATCTATGTTCTTTGCCTTAACCCTTAACCACTTGATCACAAAGTTGAGTGCTTCTGACTTTGTTGTGAATATCATCTGTGACACTGTGTCCCCCAAGCTTCACGTACTTTCTAGAATTCCAGCTGAGTGCTGGAAATTTTGGTTGGCATTTCAATATCGTGCTGATCGTTTTAAGAAGTTGCATTCGAAGAGGTTGTGCAAGCAAGCACGTATGTCAATAGGGAAGTTATTAAGCCAGAGGAAGGCCTTGGTCATTACTAAATAATAGATAATCCAAGAAACAGTAGCAGGGCCAGGTCTGTTACAAGAAAACCTCAAGATACTGGAAGGGTTTTTTGGTTTAATTTCATATCTCTTTGTGACAACTTATGTGCTTATGTGTGTAGGTTTTTTCTGAAGAGCTTTCCTAAAGCTTATTTTTGTATGTTTTGCATTCTTGATGTTCAGCATTCTTTCCTAGATCTCACAGTGTTTGACTTTAAAGCTAACCCATGTGACCCGATTGAATATATATGGTAATGAAAAGCACATTACAGATCGATATATGAGGGTATTCAAACGTTTGTGAAAAACATGTTAAAAGATAAGGTTGGTACAGAAAAGTTTGAAATTTGTGCATAGTTTCTTGGTTTGAGTAGATTTGAAGGCAAGTCACCAAGTTCAAGGAAAAATTATATTAAAATCCAGGTTTGTTTTGGTGACTGTATTTTTGAGATTCATGCAGGCAAGCAGCCATCACAAACTTTGTAGAAAATGTGTAAATGTGTCAAAATACTATTTGAGGATTTCAGAAATCTTTGTATCTCTTTTCTTTCTTTCCTTTTTTTTTTTTTTTTTTTTGGCAGTAGCACCCAATTTTGAGAATTAGGGTTGTGTGGGTGTGAGTATCTGCTGGAGAAGCTAGGCTTAAGTGTAGTAGGATTTCTGAGTTCTCTGAGTTGCTTCAGCACCAGGGTCAGGTGTTCAAATGGACTTTCATGAAAGTTGGAATCATTCCTGGGGTGTTCCTGCTTAGCAGTGGTTCTGCATGGGTGGCTAGGTCATCCTGTGTAGCTTTGTCCATTCACCTTTTCATAAAGCATCATAGGACACCATTATTTGCTCATTCATTCAGTAAATATTTGCTGAAAACCAGTTTTTGGAAAACATGTTTCCTTGCTTGTTGTGTAGGTCTGTGTCCTTTGACACTTACTTGATAGGTTGGTTCCTGCTAAATACCTGATAGCTTTGTCCTTTCAGTTGTCTGTAACTGTGGATTACAGACAGCACAATATGGGCAGCGAGAGATGTCCTTGTTGTACTAATGCAGCAGAATTGCTGCCAGGGTCACCACTGCTTCTGATTGGTATTGCTTTTTTGGATGTTATACTCTGCCCCCTTTCTCCTCATGAGCTCAGTTTCCATGTGTTCCTTCAGCTCAGCAGGTGGCAGTGGGTTCAGTGTCCCTGTGAATTTGCTGCTCAGAAGGTAACTTTTCTGTTTGAGGGGGATGCTAGTTGTCTAGGTTTTCAGGTGTATGGCAGTGGAGAAGTGAAGGGGGAGCAGTTTGTTTTATTTGATTGGCAGGTATTGCATATAAGCCACACTTTTAGTGCTGTATGTAAAACTGTGGAGTGTAATTGGATGCAGGTTTTGTTAACCCAAATTTTACTGACTGCCAAGTCAGTCTGCGGGTGTTGAGTTCAAATGTGGAGTCCTATAGGCCTGAACTGTGCACCTGTTCCCATGATTTACTGTTGATGTGTTTTAGGACAAAGTTATTAGTCTCTCTAAACCACTTTCTCATATAAAATAGGAAAAAAAAATTGTGCATTAAAAATATTCAGATTAACATCTAAATAGGAAAGGGCCTAGAATAGTGCCTCACACACACAAGAAAATCAACAGATGTTAGTGGCTGTAGTCTGGGTTATTTTCCTATTGCTTAGGACTAAGACTGCCTTTACATGTTAACCTCATATCTGAATCTTCTCCAAGCACCCTGCAGAGAAAAAACATTATAGGGCAGTTATAATTTAAAGCAATAACAGCTAGTTTAAGAGGGAGTGCATACCATCCACGGGGGTAAGGGAAATGATAACTGCTTGTTTCTTGAGATGCAAATGGTTCTGTTTAAAAGATAAGCCAATAGACATACCTATGAAGTTAAAGTTAACATTAAACTCATGGGATGCCAGAGAAAGGTCCTGTGCTGGGTTGTAAAGATGGAAAAGGATGCTATTTTATTCTCTTCATTTCCACTGGAAGAGGAAAGATATTGATATTGGTAAAAATTCACAAATCATAAGAAGAATATGGTGATAATAAAAATACCTGTTACTTAAGTCCTCAGGTGTGCCTGGCCCATACTGTAACTGTAAATATTGGATCTTTAAAACGATTTCAATCTTGATACCTGTCACAGAGTTTCTGAAGTTTCAAAATCTGTAATAAGGCAAACTTGAATGTCCTGCTGGAGTGATTCATAAAATACTCTGGATTGCAGAGGACACTGCTTTTGTATTGGAAAAGCCTAAGTCGGGTGATTTTTTTGCTGGTATTCTGAATTGCTTGAAAATCTTGAGTGAGATTTCTTTAGTAACCGTAGTATCGTGATTGTGTTTGGCTTTAACAATCTTTGATTCCCTGTCCTCTACTCACAGCAGTGTAGAAATGAAAGAGAAAAGATGGGGCTTTGTTAAGCGTCCATCAAAGAATTTATTCCCTTCCT